TGGTTACCAGGGGGGTGGAGGGTGGGAAGGGATAGACTGGGATTTTAAAATTGTAGAATAGATAAACAAGATTACACTGTATAGCACAGGGAAATATACACAAAATGTTATGATAACTCACAGAGAAAAAAATGTGACAATGAGTATGTATATGTCCATGAATGACTGAAAAACTGTGCTGAACACTGGAATTTGACACAACATTGTAAAATGATTATAAATCAATAAAAAATGTTAAAAAAAAAAAGAAACTATGGAGAAGAGAAGACAGCAGAATAACATCTTTAAAGTACTCAAAGAAAACAACTATTCAAAGAATATTGCTCCATAAAAAGCCAGGGGTCAGATGCTTCAATGGAGATATAAACAATTTTAATAGCTAGTGATCCTTTTAGTAACCTATTAGTGACAAACACATATCATCCTGGGCACCACCTAGACCCTAATCCCACTCACAACTAAATGTATCATAACGACAGCCTTCATGTAGACAAAACTCTTTATGACTAGTGGAGATCTTAAGTTATGCAGGCAAATAGCAAAATATTTTTAGCAAGCCAACACTTTTAGATCTAGTAAAATCACACACCAACATAAGAAATTCATTTCCTCCTAAACATAAATTCAGTCCTATTTAAGCCATACTTTTCAATTCCATCATTCCATCCTCAGCAGAAATATGCAAAGAATACCAAAGAGCATGGGAGAAAAGACTCATCCATATATCCAAACAATCTTTTAGTACACTGCAGTAAATTAGCAAAGATTCCCTATACAGTTGAATTCAAGTAGCCAGAATAAAAGTTCACCAAATGACAAAAAACCAACACATTATCATGACGTTTAAACAAAAGCTCTAGATTTATCTAATTTTATCATTGGAAAACTACATTCCTTTAATATTCAGTTTAGCCCATTTAAATCTAGATACTTTCCAGATAGTTCCTAATAACTGAAGTGCTGTGTCATTTTAAATCGACCACAACAATCCTGTTAGCAAAAACTGTGTTGACTGCAATTATGAAGAGGCAGCTGAAATGTCTTAGTTCTTTCAGCCTGCTATGTAACAAAATACCACAGACTGGGTGGATTATAAATAACAGCCATTTATTTCTCACAGCTCTGGATGCTAGGAAGTCCAAGATCAAGTCTCTGGCAGATTCAGTGTCTAGTGAGAGACTGCTTTCTAGATTAGCATCTTTTCACTGTGTCCTCAATTCCAGAAGGGACAAGCCAACACTCTGGCGTCTCTTTTAGGACATTAATCCCTATTATGAGGGCTTTGCCCTCAAGATCTAATCACCTCCCAAAGGCCCCACCTCCTAACATCATCACCTTGGAGGCTAGGATCTTAACATATGAATTTTGGGGAGAACACAAAGCACATGACTTTTTATTGAAAATGAAAAAAACAATACATAACCAGAAAAGAATGCTAAAAACTTACTTGTAAAGCAAAGGAAATTCTTATCCACTGAGACCTTCAGTGAAAGTTACATTTTTTTAAAATGTATTTACCTAGTGTAATGGGTGTTGAGATCACAAAAAGGTACATAATACATGGTCCCTATCAAATAGGCTCAGAAATAAGAATATCATCTAAGCCACTGCAAAGGAGAATTGATTCCAACAACCTATCAGAGCTACATTAGAAGACAAAAGTATTTCTTCTTTTTGATAATCTATTAACCAAGAAATAACATAACTATGTATCAGTATGCTTTGGGTTTTGGGGGAGGGTTAAGGATTTAAGAAATTCAAAAGATAAAATAAAGCACGATGAATAATATAATCTCTCATGCTCCCTCAATCAAAAAGTACAAAAACTAATACTTTGTAAGGTTTGTTTCCAATCCTGTATCTTTTCAAATCATATAGCTATCGATATAGATACATATCTTAAGTCCCTTTGAACTTAAATCTAGCCATGAATATGAATACACACTGAGACCAATGAGTCTTTACAGTGAATCATTAAACAAGGAGGTGTTTTTGGGGATCCCCAACACACTGCAAATTATCTTCTCCATTTAGCCATATTTATTATGGTACTTTTCTCATTCAGATGATTTAAGCTTTAATGTATCAAAATGCAACTATCTTTTCCTTTGTGATTTGGCTTTTCCTATCCTGACAATCACAAAAATATTTTATTTTCTTCTAACAGGTTTATTGTTCACATTTACATATTTGATTCACTAGGAATAAATTTGGGGCATAGCATAAGTTAGGGCCGTCATGGCCCCATTGTGCAGCACTTTGGCCTGTAAGTACCCTACACCAACATTCACAACTGGATCATGAATGCCTTAAATCAATCAGGATAGTCTCATCTCCTCTGTCAGAGTGATTTACTGAGGAGTCTGAAGGTAAGCAAGGCCTCCACCTATCAGTTCATGTCATTCCCCTTGACCACTAGAAAATAGTTCAGTTGGTCTATTCAGAGTAAAGCTCACAACTTTTGCTCATTGGGTAGAAGATCAGAGCCCTTCTCTTTGCCACTAGGCATGAACAAATCACCTGGCCTTACTTATGAATTTCTGCTATCTACTTTGTGACCATAAAGGAGGCCAGTTAAGGAGAAAGATGGCAGGAGAAGACCAAAGTTGAGTAGTTAACAAAGAAATATTATCAAAACCCAGATCAAACCAAACCTCCAGTGTTTAAACCAGCTGAGTAGGGGCTGGTTTGGTTTTGTTTGGCTTTTCTTGCATCCAAAACCATTTTGATTTATAAGCTGGTATTCCTACTATACATCCTACTCATTCATGCAAGAATTTTTTTTTATTACACTAAAGGAGTCGATACGCTATTTTACTTAGAATTTTCACAAATTTTAATCTGAAATAACTGTAGTCACACTGAGTAAAAAGGCACATCATATGAAAGAATGTGTCCGTTACACTATTCTTTGATACTTAAGAATTTATTCATTTGTTCAGTAAGTATTTATTGAGGGCCTACTATATGCAAAGTACTGGGGGTAAAATGAAGACTGAGACATAGTCTCAGTTCTCAAAGAACATTGTACTTCTACCTGTAAAATCAGTCTCAAACAGATACATAAGAACAAAGTGAGAACTATCAACCAGAACTAAAAAGCTGGTGGCCTTGATCTTAGGAAATGAAGCTAAGAAAATTTTCTAATTTTCATCTTAAAGTTTTCATTATCACTTTATCCCATTTCTCTTATGATTTCTAAGAATTCGATACAGTACCTGTATTTGATGGATCCAAAATTAACTGAAGAGATGGCTTATTTGTTTGGCTGGCTGAAACATCTCCAAATGAATGGTCTGAAATCTCACTGGAACTTGAACAATCAACAAGAAGGTTGCTTTGCCCTTTCTCAGAATCTCTCAAAATCTCTTCCATGGCTTTTTCCAATTGTTCATCACCATTAGAAACTATCTACAGACAAAGAAAGACAACTCTGTTTCAATCGTAATATGGTTCTGGACTTAATGAAAATACTTCATTTCTAGAATAAATTTTAACAATATAAACATTTAAATTTAAATATAGTTACTGAATACCAAGAATTCATACAGTTGTACCTAAGATAATTAAGTATAATACAAAGTCCTGAATAATAAAATCAAATAAATTAGAGGATTATTAGTTTCTG